AAACTCTCGTTTTTGAAAGCGTGCTTTGTTTAAATTGGTATGCAAACGTTTACTAAAAGAAGGCAATGAGAATTTCCATTTATAAGATTCAATTAAAAAAAATCAAAATGAGCTTTAAAAAATGTCAATAAAAAATCAAAAAGTGACTAATAAATAGTTGAAAAAGTGCAAATAAAACCATTGCCATTTTTTTAGGTTTTATTGGCAGTTTAAATTTTTAATTGATCTCTTTTAAATATTTTAGTGCTCATTTTGATTCTTAGTGGCACTTTTTTTAGTGCTTATTTTGATGTGTCTATTGCAAGTTTTAGATTTTTTATTGGAAATTCTTAAATTATTTATGGAATATCCAAAAAAATTTATTACTCAACCATATGATTTCTATTGTTACTTTTGAATTTTCTGTTGCATCTTTTAATTTTTAGCGCCGAAACATGTATTTTCCATGGCAACTTTTTTCTTTTGCTACTTTCCACTAGTTTTTTTTTGCTCATTTTCAATAATTTATTGCTCATGAGCATGCAGGTTTATTGACAATTATGACAATTTTATGTTCAAGGTGTGAATTATTTTAGTATGGTTCATATTTTTGGAGTATGCAAACATTAGGATTTTAAGGAAGAATTTTTAGACATATATTGATCCAAACCATACAAAAAACGATATTTTCCTTAAACGATTCGAGCCTATAGTTATCATAGTCAGCATACCGTAGAATGATTTTTCTATGTTCATAACTAGACCTATCCAATATGTATGAAAGAAATGGCTTTTATGAACCTAGAACACAAAGAGGCCGATTTCAGTGAGAATTACTCAGGAGATAAAGATTTTTTCTAGATATATATTGTAACTGCCGATTTTTTTATTTATTTAAATTGGAACCAGTTCCATCCCAATGTGAAACTGAACTTTTTGTCAGTGCGAATCTCATCCTGAGGTAGCTTTTAAAAACAAGCGTCAGTAAATAGGCAGACCCGATATTGATTACCGATGCAGGTTGGAGCTGAATCGAAAACCAATTCGGCACTAGTCTACATTGAGTATCATTGTGATGTAGAAGAAAATTTTCAATAAAAAAATTATGATTCGAGACTAGGCAATAAGTTTTAGTCGGGAAGCATATAGTCTAGAATAAATTAAAAATAAATAGTATGCCTGCTTATGACAAATTAAAAATTTATATATTAATTAAGGCAAAGATTATTTTATTCTGTTCGGATTTTTTTTAAAGTAATAACACTACCTTTTGTTCTGACGTATATAGGGTGACAACATGGCAAATTAATGATTATATGATTAAATACCTCTAGCACTCCTAATTAGTAGTGAGACTTCTTATTATTTGCTTATCCAGCTAAGCACAACCCGCACATTACCTTTTTTTCTTCAAACAAAATGGAATGTTTTTACAATGAATGTTCTCTTATTCACTTTCCTTTCTATGTGTTCACTTTGATTAGATAAAGAGGAACACATTCTTTTTATTTTATTTAAAAAAAAAAATAAATTTGATATGTAATTGTATAATAAAAATAGGTTCAAATATTCATACCATGCTTTCTTGTAGAGTAAGTATTGAAGAAGTGAAGCAAAGAATTGTATATTTGACTATGGTTTTCCAATTACAATTTTTATAATCATAACGGAAATTTTAACTGGATTAACATTTCTTGGTGCATTTGTTGCTGCCTTCAACAACACTTTATTTTTGAACATAATAGGAAAATTTGATCACTAAATTGTAGAAATTCAAATAGAAAATTGATAAAGTGAATCAATCATCGTAGTTGGGACCTTACAATTCTGAACGCTAGAATTCACATTAATTGAATTCGAAACCCACTAAAAACCATTGTAGGACAATCTAGTTAACTAATATCTAGAGTTCAGAATCATGAGGACCTACCCAGCTATATAAACAGCTCACGTTGACAGTTTGTGTTTGGATTTAGACCTTAATAATCATCAAAAGATCGATCATTTCCATTCATTTGTATTTTCTTTTTTTTTGGAGATGAACTAGCCAAAAGGCTAAAAAATTTCCTTAATAAAGGTTAAAAAAAATTGTATTTTCTCAATGTTGATGAATGAATCTTACATTTTCAGATTGCAAATTATGACTTCCGGTTCACATATGGTTGCGATTTATTATAAAATACGCCACTTTTATAAATTATCGAAACTTTCGAATATGTGTATATAAGGCTCCCAATGAAAACGGTCATCTTGAATTCTCCGTAGTGGTCCATATACCGTAATCATTATTTGTGCTCAATTGTTATCTAGTGTTATCTCGAAAAAAAAAATGTTTTTTTAAACAAAATGTACTTTTTTTAATAGTGGTTTGCTATATCGAGCATTTATGAATTAGTTTGGTCTATGCTAACCAAATACAATACATTGGAAACGTGTGGCAAGCACAATGATGATACTCTAGACCCTAGAGAAATAGTTTCGCAGATACACTGTGTTGAGCACTTTAAAATATGCCATGGATGAAAGCAGCCAAATCAAACTCAATAAAATGCAATTTTGCAGTCTGTGACTCTTTGAAAAGAATAAGTTTTAAATATAACATATAAAATAAGTGAGCACTGGAAAAAATGTGGTAAAATAAAAGCTTTTCTGGGCATTGTCAATATAAACTTCTATAGATCGAATAAAAGTCTTGATGTTCCTAAGCGAAAATATGACATGAAACATCTAAATGAAGGATATTCACACCATGGCCAATTGTGACACTCTATACTCGATGAATTTACTCAGACATTGTTGGTATGACATTTGTTTGTTTGTCTGGGGCCACCAAATTAATAAATCAGGCAATTTCCAACAGTAATGAGTACGTTTATTATTCTGCTAAAAATTAACCCGTTTCATGCGGTGGATCTTGTGAATAAATTTGGAAACTTTTTTGTGTGCTTTTCGTGGAGGTACCCCATAGCACATCACTCACCGTCATCGCAAATGGTAGTTAAAGTCAACAGGAGTCAACAATTGAATGCATAATTTTGTCATTTTTATCGAGGTTAATTCTCCGACACATAGCAATAAAATTCATGCCTAGTAGTTATCAGCTTCTTTTACATTGCCCATTCTTAAATATGGATTTGCTTATCTCGATTTAAAAAATGCATTTCAATTCATACTAATGAAAAATATGATTACCCCGAAAACTGGAGTCCATTTTGATTTTTTTTTTCACCTAACACTACTGATGCCGAAAACCAGAAAGGCAACCATCGATCGATGTTCGACATTCCATTTTAGTTGAGTTCCTCTTTTCTCGGTTCATATTCGTTATCATCTTCTTGCCAGACGAGTTGCTCCTTTTTCTGAACGAAATCACTGACTGCAATTACCAGTTCACTCGTAAGTTTCTTCGGAAATTTGTGCCGAACGTGGAGCTTGTTGTCCAACTAAAGGTCGCATCTTCGCAGCATCGCCCAATCAAGTTCCTGTCTCATCTTCCGTCGCTTTGCTTTCATCTCCTTATGCTTCTTCGGGTCGTCCTATGTAAGAATCACACGCATTTCTTAGCATGCGAATTTATTCAAGCGGCTCTTAAATTAAGCTTATAAGTTTCACACAAACACAAGCCAAAATGGATTCAGCTGTGGTGATGCTTAGGCTGCGTTGGTTGCGCGTCTGCCAAAGTCTTTGAGAGTTGCTGTTAATTTATACACGTCATCACTTGCAGAAAACCAGTTTTTCCTGCACACGTTCGCATCTCCTGCCAACTGCCGCTACCTATCTTTATATGCATAATATCAATGCGGAATGCTCTTCGAGAGCACGGGTCACCCATTTCGAAAGATATTTGAGTCATATATTTAGACGATGGTACGATTATGATGCCACAATAATAAAATCATATGCATATCATACAAACACAGTAATAAAAGTCTTTATCTCTATTTTGTGTTGGTTTATTGTAAGATTACAATTTTATTGATGGAGTTGTCCATTTCAGAGGATGCTATCAAGAACAGATAATTAATAGTGTGGCTACACCAGTCTTATATGCTATAAGAGAGGCACACAATAGGAACAAATAACTATGATTGGTACACCCACTCGAATTGAGATAGTTTTTATTACTATGTTTTGAAACTCCATTATTTTTAACAATTGTCAATCCCAAATTATTTTAGTTTTAAGATCAAATGTGCGTTAACAAATGCACCCAGCTCATGCTTCTAAAAAAACAAATGCAAAACTTTATGATAGTGTTGAATTACTATCGTACATACATTTGCACAATTACATGAAATGTGTGGATAGATCTGATTCATGATAGGAAGAGCCGAGTAGGAGGAAGGGGTTCTTATTTAAGCTCCAAGCTGCTGGGACCGGCTATACGTTTCGATCATATAATGGTAGACTTAACCGAACGCTGATTTGAAACCGAGTACACGTCGAAACTGAAGAGATAAAGGTTTAAAGGAGATTTAACACGACTTCACCTTGCCCTGCAGGAAATCTGAGCAGGGGTTGTGTGAGGCGAGAAAAATGCAATATAAATGCAGAATAAGGCATTGCACAAAATCTTAAAGCATAGCATTCAAGTATAACGTGTATGCTCCTCAACACTCATGTCGATTGGGCACAGTCTAGATGAAAGGAGAACATAAATCCAAAATGATTTTATAATAAATATTTCCATACACTCTCGATGGTGGACATGTTGCCGATCGAAGACCGAGTTTTTAATGCTTTCATAAACAATCTTGGGGCTTCAGTGACCGTTATTGTGATAATCAGTTGATGTGCTTGAACAGTTACTTCTTTTTGAATTTATCCTTGCTGAAAATATTAAAAGGCATAGGGTATGCATTCCTATTTTCAGTTAATGTTTGTTTTCTTCATTATGTCTGTTTATTTTCTTCATTGAAGACCATTTGGAAGTTTTGGAATCAACATCATTACCTTTTGCACTTTACATATTCCAGATTAGCTCAAATCGTATCTCTTTTGTCTCTTTCTATCCCATGCAGATATGAAGGAGAATGGTTGTAACGATAAAGAAAACAAAATCCATAGGCCGTCGGTAAAATCATTATCTAAAATGTCGGACGAGTTTACCGAGCAGGACAGTATCAAGCGGGACAGGTTGAATGATCATCATCTTTCTACGAGACATCAACAACGTGATCGCGATGAGATTGCGCATAACGAGGATCATTTAAGTGACGAAGAGAACAATGACGACGACAACAACAGTCGCACTGAAGACAGTGATAGAAATAAAAGAAACGATTTTCAAGACCGCAGCACATCACCGCATGGTTCTTTGGACGAATCTCCGGCGGCTAATGTTGCTGGATCTACGGCGGCTGCTGTTGCTCTTGCGGCCGCCACAGCAGCAGCGCATGCTGCAGCTGCGAAAAGTCCTATGGCCAACGCAAGTTCAGCTTCACCAAACGAATTTAATCCTTCGACATTTTTTCCACCACCTGGACAAATGTCGATACAAGCCTTTCAAAATGCAATTGCTCAATTCACTGCCAATGCGTTGGCCAACAATATGGACAATGATACGGTAGTGAAAAATCTTGCTATTCTTCAGTCTGCACTTTTCACACTACAACAGCAACAGTTTTTACAATTTCAACTGATACAACACCTTCAGTCTCAGTTAGTGAAAAAACAAGCAGTGAAAGATGATGCGTCGAATGATTCTGGAAGTTCTTCGATTATGTATCATAGCCATAACAACAACAACATCAACCATAGTAAAAGAAATGAACCCCAGGATCTTCGCAAGCAAGATCGACTTGAAGAAGATGATGAAGTTGAAGAGGAAGGTGTTGAAGATGCATACAGTAAAAGCTTCCAGATGGCTAATATAATGGCTGCTGCAGCAGCCGCGAGCGTTGAGAATCGCCCAATAATACATCCTGTTCCTGAAGAAGAACTAAGGTAAGTTACAAATGATTCGCTTTAGGACAGAACATAATATGACCTAAATTGTCTTCCTCATTTGTCGCGTCAGGAAACCGAAAGCTTCTGAACCATTCGTGGAGAAGCGACCACCTTTAGAACCACCTATAATGTTACCTTCATCAACGGCAGCATCTAGCATTGGTTCCACCTCCACCACTACACTTTCGACTACTGCTCGAGGTGTCGCAACATCTGAGAGGGATGAGATTTTACCATATCAAGATTCAAATTTCTCTTCTCTGGCAGCGAGCATAATAACTGATCATGCACCATCGACTATGTTTGAACCAAATTCTCTAGCTATGCTAGAGAAGAAAGCCCAAGAAGTCCTTAATTCTGCCTCGCAAGGCATCCTGTCCAATAATTTGCTGGATGAGCTAGCTTTCGCTAATGATAAATCATCTCCAAATGGTCGAAACGATGCTGCATTGTTTAAACATCGCTGTAGGTATTGTGGTAAAATATTTGGGTCTGATTCGTCACTGCAAATCCATATTCGATCACATACCGGAGAACGACCGTACAAATGTAATGTATGTGGAAGCCGTTTCACTACAAAAGGAAACCTCAAAGTCCACTTTCAGCGACATTCTGACAAGTACCCGCACATACCAATGAATCCAAATCCGGTGCCGGAACATTTGGATAAGTATTTCCCCCCATTAATTCCACAAGAGGCATTAAAAGAGCAGCAGCAGCAGCAGCAACAACAGCAATCGCAACCCCCTCCTGCATCTATTCCTCCACCAGGACCTCCTACACAGTTTTCAAGTTCATTTCAACCAAGAGGATTTTTTCCGGACTTCTACTTACCTCGGCCGCCATTGGATATATTTTCTAATCCTTTGAATGAACCTGCGCGAAACCCGGTTGATCTTTCGCAAGTCAAGAAACCAGTAGAGCCACCGAGAGAACCTACTCCTGAGATGAGACTTTCGCCAGAGGTGGTTATTCATGAGTCTCCTCATATCAAACAAGAACCTATGGAAGAATCATTGGACCTCTCAGACAAATCATCAAAAGTTGCCCAAAGAGAGGAAGAAAAGGAGGAAATAGAGCAGGAGAAGGAAGATAATACCAACACGAACAATAGCACCAGTGAAAAAGAGTTTCCACTGAAGTTGAAGAACAATTCAGTTGAAAACTTAGCTACCGTTCCCTCAGTATCTCCTCCATCAAGCTCATCATCCGGATCACTTTACCAAGATACGGTGCTTGATCCATCATTCTATTCAGCTCATATGCCTCGCCCAGACAGCAATGACAGCTCGTGGGAAAACTTTATTGAAATTTCCTCAGAAACATCGAAGTTACAAGAGCTGGTTGATAATATAGATAGCAAAACCACCGAACCAAATCAATGTTTGGTATGTAAAAAAGTACTCTCCTGCCGAAGTGCACTTCAAATGCATTATCGAGTTCACACTGGTGAACGACCATTCCGGTGTAAAATTTGTGGTCGATCGTTCACGACAAAGGGCAATTTAAAGACACATATGAGTGTTCATAGGATAAAACCTCCCATGAGAACCTTACACCAATGTCCCGTGTGTCATCAAAAATTCTCCAACATATTTGTCCTTCAGCAACATATCCGCTTACATACAGGGGAAATGACAGATCTTACACCTGATCAAATCAAAGCGGCAGAAATCAAAGAATACGAGGGGCCCGATATTCGAATGAATCCATTCGGAGTTAGGTTGAATGATTTTCCCCCGAGTAATCATAATAAACGAAGTTTGGAACATTCGGATGAGGAAAATGAACACGATGTGAATGAAGAAAAGACTCATAAAGTACCAATAAGCGAAAAATTAAAAATAAGGCCAGGCCTTACTTCGCCAGCCATGGAGAATCAGGTCGAAGATTTACGTGCAATGAATCTTCAACGATTATCGGTACGATCGCTGCCAAATGAAGAATTCTCTCGTGATTCTGCATCTGCCAGTCCCAATTCAACGGAGGCTAAGCGTTTAAGATCATCCAGTCCTATCGGTTCCGTCTCGTCAGTCATGTCCACAAGATCACCGATGTCTACGCCACCAACCTCCGGAGGAGAACAAATAGGAGCCGGTGCTGCTGGAAGAGCGGCAGCTGCAGTCGCTTTTCCGTATGGTCCACCGTTCCTAGGAATGCCTCAGTTTCCACCGTTCATTAGTAGACCACCGTTCCTTGGGAATGTACCGATAGTGCCACCTGGTTCGAATATGCCTCCATTCGGATTGTTCGGTGAGTGCCTTGTTTAAGAGTAGACTTTGCATATATTCTCAGAACATTAGATTTCTATTACAGAAAATTTGATTAATTGTAGGCGTACGTGGAAACACAACAACTTGTAATATTTGCTTTAAAACTTTCGCATGTAATTCCGCGCTTGAAATTCATTATCGAAGCCATACGAAGGAGCGCCCATTCAAATGCACAATCTGCGATCGAGGATTCTCTACAAAGGTAAAAATCTAATTGACTATTTCTCTCCCCCCCCCCCCCATTTCTTAATTTCTTCCCGTTTATGTTCACCTTCTGTTTCTAAAATAAATTGACCTTTCGTTCCAAATTTCAAACTTGATAAGTTCAGTTTTCAATCCGGAATATTTCTCTGTTTTTGTAGTGGCACAAAATCCTACAAAACATTTATGAATCCCATGTTGTGTGAAAAGCAGTAGAGAGACGTCTTTGACTGAGTGTGTTTTTTGTATGGCTCCTTAAAACTGATCAATTCTCATACCGGAAACGGTATTATAATTTCCTAATTTACTTGTTCCGACGAAACAAAAAATTAACTAATAGGGTTGATTTTTGATCAATGCAGTGTCTCTTTAACCTCCGGAAAGTGCTTTAAAGACAATCGCTGAATCGATATCATAAAAAAAAAATCATTCTTATGTCTTCAATAAAAAAAACTCCTCGTTGTATGTTCTCTTCATGAAGGCTTAAAGGATTTTTGTATTGCACTTGAAATGCATGGTGACATTTGGTAATACTAATTTTTACCTGGATGCGGATGCGGTTAACAATTTTAGTAAAGGAAAGAAAATATTGAATTTCTTGTGACAATAATAATGCGTTATGTGAGGATAAAAAGATGAGACACAAAATACAAATAAATCTACAAAACAGAACGCAACCAAAGCGAGTACAATACCAAATTTTCTGTTAAAAATAGATTCAAATCTACTCTCACCAATTGATATCGATATCATCCGCTTGCAGCTTAAATACATTATGCTTAGCCTTTATTTTCTTAGTTTTGATGCCGTTTTTTTTTGCTTAGTTTCTTTCTTACTTTCTTGCCCTTCGTTGAATCAACGTTATTCAAAATATGTACGCATCAATCGAACACAAAATAAATTAACAAAACTTTTTGGAGCTAACATGCATTTCATTACATCACATGTTTTCGTTTGTTATTTTGATTTTTTTAAACTGTAGCATGAGAATTGAGTTTTGTGAATCGATTGTTTTTGACACTGTAAACTGATTCGCCCGATCAACTAACGGTGAGAACAAATTAGAATTTGAAGAATGTGACGAAGCAAGGCAGTGAAAAAAAATATCGATTCGATGCACTAGAATAGATGAATAGAATGTGCCAAAAATCGTCACATTTTGAGTATCTATTTTCATAGCCGTGTGCTTTAATACTCTCTTATACTCTCACTAACTCAGTTTGACACTCGGGTGCGATTCGGTTGATGATATTATAGTGTTCTAATTTTAAAACTAACTTAAATGTCTTTTATTACATAATTGTGTCTCTGCTTCTTCATGCACAGCAACTAAATCTTTATATCTCACGTATCTCTCATGTTAACCAGAAACTATAGCACACTCGTATACTCAAACAGCAACGGAGGGGACAACTAATCGTTGAATGTTTCTTTTATTGTATTCTCTCGATTACAGGGAAATATGAAGCAGCACATGCTCACTCACAAGATCCGTGATATGTTTGGCAGCTCGGGAGGCAATTCCGGAGATGAGTCACGCACACAATCTCCACCGCAAGATCCTAATTCTAATTCTGGCGGTGGTACGACAGGGGGAGGATCGAACAACGCCGTCAATAATGGCAATAACCGATTTTCTCAGTCCTATTCTTCTGCTCCTATGGATATGACCGATGACTACACTTCATCAGGCGGGCGGAAAAGAGAACGTTCCAATTCTAGTAACTATGACAGTACTACGACACAATTCGTTAAACAGGAAAAAGATAATGCCATCGACGAGAATGGTTCCAATAGCGTACACTCGAATGCATCGGAGAATACATCCAACAATAACTACCAGGAATTTATCAACAAAGATGTGGACATCAAAAATTGGTGCCAAAAGCTGAAGGAAATGCCAGAAAATATTGCCGTGCCGCAAGTTGATAATCCTACATAGGAAAAAAGTGCAGAGCCCGATCCGGAAGTTCTTGTATAGCGGAAATAACTTGAATTTGCAATTGTGATATAAACATTGCATGGTGAATAGTTGGAATGTTCCATCTCACAAACTTTCATAGAAATTGAATTCTGGTTGTAACGCTATTGCCGCAAGATATTTCAAATCATAATTAAAATTGTGAAAGGCAGTACAGGAAAAGGAACTAGTAATCAAATGTGCGATCTCAGATACAATCCCTAACTTCGTTTTATTGATGAAGGAAACCGAATTTGTATTTTAGAAATGAAAGTGTCTATTTTTGTAAAAATTGTAACATATCATCTAAACTTTATATTCGCTGGTTGAACAACTGAAAGCATGATGTTGCATGTTTGAAAGTGAAAAGAAATCAATGCATACAAAATGCTACACTTCTATGGCATAAGGTTTGAAGAGTATTCGTGGATAGAAAAGAAAAAAACGCATAACGAGACAGAATTGCTAGTATCCTTGTACATATACTTCATAAAAAAACGAAGGTGAAACGAATCGTAAAAGAATGCTATGAACCAATGATATGGATCGATCGAATCCTAAAAAGAATAATCCACAGAGACTGTACAATCCGTGTTAAGTTGTCGTGATCTTAGATTCAAGAGAAGAACAAGTAAAAGACCGATAGGTAAGAAACAACTGAAAGTTTGTTTTTTGTTTAACTAATGCCTATTTTAATACCGAGAAAAAATAGGAAAATTGTTTTGTATAGAAATTATATCGTAGCTATCACCTGGGCTTAGCAGCTCTTTTAAAAGTACTGTATGTGAGTGTGTCACTGTATGTATGTACCTATAAACATAACATTGAAGTAATATATTATGCTTTATGAAAGTCTAAATCAAATATCTATTTAAAGTAAGTTATACAACAAACCTGAAAAGATATTTGTAAATGTATAGTTATCGAGAAAAGAATACAAATTGTAGTAAATTAGCGGTGACAAAGAAAAGAGAAGAAATAACATTCGGGCAGAATTTAGAACTTCGTGTTGACGAATGTATTAACACAACAAATCAAAGCCAGGCATACCATGTTTCATTTTAAGAAATCCGAAACAGTAATATTCTTCAATGACGATAGTACAGAGAAAAAAAGATTGTAAATAGCGTTAAGGTTAAACATACTTGAAAATGTCTTCATTTTCCCTCAATCCTAACCCCAACATCCTTGCTTAAGTTGATCCATTTTTGACTTTCTTTTATCACTACATTTGTGAATGTATATGTATACCAGGATCATAAAATTTAATTGAACAACTTTTTTGTGATAATTTATGTTATGAGGATTTATACTTTAGGTATTTATATTCTATTTTTACGATACTGTTTTTATTGAGAATTATGTACAGCAGCGGAAAACAAAATGACAAAATAATACACAACCAAGAAAAATATATTAGTGCAAAATCATTTCATCACACAAATTAATCCGAAATTATCCTATATAACTCTGAGCAATTGCCACAAATACTTAATCTATTTGAAGGTTGCCTCCAACCTCCAACCAGATAGTTTCGATTATTAAAGAGAGAGAAAAAAATGACCAGTCAATTGTAAACTCCTAAATCGGGTTAAGTGCATAGCTATATAATATACAATTAGTTATGATGTTCATACAATAGTACCGATAGTTCCAAAACGTGTCAATGATGAAAATTCAATTTAAAAGTTTACATTTTGTGAAGATGTATGTTGATATTTTAATGAATCAATTATGTACTCATTCTAAAAATCTGGAAGCATTAAAACAACTCATTTATATATAGCTGCAATTTTATTTGATTCAGACATTAGCAAATATCTCGTATTCTTCCTTGGCATTTGATGCTTCCAATGTTAGCGTTTTACCGGCTCTAAACTTTGTGATCTTTGAATCCCTTCCGCAGTTATTAATTATGAGCATTTCTTTTAACAACTACATGAAATTGTATATTGTTTGGCAAGCATAATGGTACGCTATGCCCAGGGAACATTCAGCTCGAAAGATTTCCTCGACCGGATAGGGAATCGAAACAATCAGATCATTCTTTAGGAAACATTTAGTCCATTCATACAAAACCTGAATTTATCCACTTGAGGAGAGATCAAACCCTTCATAATAATTTAAATTCTGTACAAAAGGCTCAAGTCCACATTCAAATAAACATCACACATCAGAAGACAATGTTTGAAAGATATACCACATTTTAGTACAATAATATTGCTTGATGTCTGATTGTTCTCCTTATATGCCAATGCGCCTTTGGCCATCAATGATAATCCATTTTCACGTTCGGAAGGGACCACTTCATCGGAAGCTCCCGAAACATGTAACGATGTGGCCAATCGAATTGTATTTGAATTTTGATGTGATTTGAGGTTTCGCATGAAGAGTTTTGACCTAAGTTAGAAACTGGCAACCTTCCCTGGGGCACCCAAAACACTTCTAAATGTGGCCAATGTGGTTCTAGAAACTCAGTATAATCATAATCGATCTTGTTTACATGCCCGGATGTCTCCGAAGGGTTGCAAGGCACTCATTATGAGTGCTATTGTTCTTGTCTATGAACTGTCATGTAAATTGGGGTTTATTAGTCTCATGGCTCATACACAATGGGCAATGATACGGCCCCGAACCTGTTGAGTGATTCCAAAAATATTCAATAGCGAAAAAATGGGATCATAGCACCTTTCATGTGGCGGTTGTTGCTTTCAATTGAATGCAGTGGTTACCCAGAAAAATATCCTACACTATTTCTTAAAAACTGAATTTATTCTCCTATGCTGAGATTACCCTTCTTACTAATTTGAAATCCAAGAATGGAGGATAAATCGCACAATATTTGAATGATAGGTCGGTTTTCACTGAATATTGAATAATAAGATTTAATGTGTTAATGTTGGGTTTTAGATTCATGGCAGATTCAGTCTAACCCGAGGGCATGCAGAACATGTTCAGGTGTTGCCCTTGGAATTCAATGTATCATCAATTATATTTTTTAAACGATAGGTGTAGATTCAACTCATTTTCTGGTTATTTGATCGGAAATACCCAGACCACTTCCAGTTTTGGTCAAAGAGGTGTTGGCCTTTCAATATGGCCAGAAGTGGCTTTCTTGGTTTATAGCTGCGCGTAAATTTAATAATTCCGAAATTTTGACGAAACTTTAAACAAATTCTGCTCAACTTTTATTTATTTTTTCGGTAGTAACCAATTGCAAACAAGCAAATAGTCTTTCTTAGAAAGAGATATATATATATATATATATATATATATATATATATATATATATGTATAGTTGATAGTTGATAGTTGATATATTGAGTAATATTTTACACAGGCTTCGATAACATCAAATTAATTTGCGACACGGAATCCATGATGTATGCCACGCACTTGATACACCAATGCACAGTGGGCGACTCCTAGCAAAAGCAAAACCTGGACAAATTTCTTAAATACAGTACTTGTTCGCTAACTGGGTTAAAAGCACAACCCAGTTAGTGACCTCCACTCGTTAATTGGGCTGGCTTGAGAAACGTCAAAAAACATTGAGAGGAACTTAAATGGATTGTTTGATCGACGTTAAAAACATTTCACATGTATTGAATTGAAATAGTGGAAAGTTTATTATTGTTGTTTTCACAGCATCTATACTAGCGAATTTAGAAAGGCTTAATGCATTCAAGTCTTGATTTCAGTGTGAAATGAAAATATTTTCAAATTTATTTATATTAACACTTAACATTTCATGTGTGAATCTTATGCTACACTCAAAAAATTCCACACTTCATCATCATGTGTCTCACACTTAATTTTGCGATTATTGTGAAACACATCCATTTCATATATGAGGCGGGTTGATAGGATAAAGTCACAACTCTTGTTTTCGATGTTTACCTTTCAGAGCAAGCAATTCACATTGCATTGAAATGCAAAACACTTTAAATCCATCTGTTTTGAACAGCAGTGTGATTCAATGTGCAATACACTTGAATAGATAGTGAAAGATTTTCAACATTTCAAAGTTTGAAACATTAGAAATTAACGTCTATGACACATTGAACCAAGGTGAAATACACTTAAAGTAAATGTGATTGTGCATTTAAAAAATCAAGTGTTTAAACACTTCGATCAAACGTGTGGAATTTTTTGAGTGCAGTTAAAAAGAAACCCAGTTAAAGAACGCCCAGTTAGCGAACAAAACAATTACCCTGAAAAAGACCAACAAGGGTTTCCGTCGGAAATGATGCCGGAAAATGTACCAAGAAAGAAGAAATCAAATCTATTTCGAGTGAAAAAATCATCCTTCTACATTTGTATTGTGATAATTTGTTTAAAAACCTACACGGCAAGAAAAAATACTCAAAATTAAGTTAAAAAAAACTCAACGTTGGGTTCTATCACTTGAGGTCCGCCGTTGAGTGAATCAAAAAAGCGGCGTTGGTTAAAATTTACTCAACTATGGAGTATTAATAAATGAACTCAATTATAAGTTTACTTTCATTGAGAATCGTCTTTACACGTGTTAAACAAATGAAAGAATCGCAAGGGCAGCAGGCAGGAGATGTATGTATCCGTAGGACGAATTTGGAATCAAGAAGTAGTTTTATATTTCTATCAAAACATAAACAATTTTTGATTCTATATCATATGCACCGATTATATGCAAAGACAAATTGATTTATAATTCTAATTATAAATTTTTTAAATCAAAAACCTAAATTCTCATCGAGTTTGCTGAAATACACAGAAGTTTATTAGGATATAAGAAACAACAATATGGCTTGACCAGCTAAATAAAAAAAAAAATGATAGTAAGAATAGGCTTCATAAGTGAGTCAATCAGTAACATGTAATTTTATTTATTAAAACAATAACAGGACCACCACCCAAATATAGTTGCAAAAGAGTTTAAGTATTACGGACAAAAATATTTCCGTTATCTTATGGGATTATTTGAAGGTCAAAATATAAAATTTAACCTTGAATTTGTCAAACTACTTATTTTACGAGAGTTAACTGCATTTCTACCGTTATTCCCCATACCTCAACTACCTAAACTGCCGTGTGATAACGAAGAGTCGCATTCGGCACTATGGCCAAATATTTTTGCATTTTCAAATTCAATTCATCAAATTAAGCACTTATTGACACCTCAGATAACCTATTCAGTAAAGGCACAGTATTACCATTCCGGGCATTCTTCTCTGCGCATTGAGTATCATAGTGTTTGCCACACAGTAAACAATACAATATTCATACATTGGTTGGCATTGAAATGCTCTCAATTAATAACTGTGGAAGAGCTTCAAGAACTCCGACAACTAACTTGAGAGCCGGCGAAAGCTCGTTTAAGAGCGACAAATACAGGCAGAAGAATATGACGCCAATAATATTGAATTTGAACCATTATTCGTCATAAGTAAGTTAGTCCTACGAACGCCATTTTGTTGAAAAATATTGATTTGAAATCTCGTTTTTGGCTGAAAAATGAAAACCAAAATGGTCGCGATTGAATTACCTACCCTACCCTTCGAGGGATTGTTGTATATTAGGGTACCATTGAAATTGGTCACCCTGAATTTCCAACACCGAACATTTTCAAAATGTTTATTGTCTCCAAAAAAACGCTGTGCAAAGTTTGGACTCAATCGGACATGATACAAACATGGTACAAAATCGTGAAAGAAAATTCAACTTCATGCCAACTCAGACCGTCTGTTTTTCCTGCATAGTCATTGTAAGTTAACCAAATTTTTAGTCACTGTATTATTTAATTGCCACATATTGTTCGAGCTACTTCAACCAAAAATAAATTTAAGTATCCTTTAAAAATTAAAGCACCGTTATTTCTAATTAATTTATATGTTATAATAACCATGACTCCTCGACTCCAACTCCTGCATTTAATAAATAAAACAAATATATTTTTACAATTTTTTGCTTTTTGGATGAAATTATTAAAAGTAATTATAACATTAAACATAAATTAACAACCCTATGGCAGCACGTATTCTAGTAATGGATGCACATAATATATCAGTATTGCTCTTGCGGAGAGTGAATATTTCTATTGTGAAATTTTTTTTAATGTGCATTCAGTGGGAACTTATGATTTTTGCGGGTGTTTTGAAGTTTTAAATATTAAAAAGACCACCTTATTGAAAAATAAATGAACCACCCTAGTGAACCATCATGTATTAGATGCTAGCTATGATATGTAAGTAGTTTGGAGATAGTTGTGAACAGTTTGAGAAGCCAGTTCATACTCCGGTCTATACTGCGCTCTGGCACGATCGATTTTGGAATCCAAATCTGTAGTATGGTGCCCATACGCGTTAATTTAGTCAGTGACATGTTCCGTTGAACCTATCACAATACTAAGATCCATGCAGAATGTTGGGACGCTGG